TGGCGACACATCATCTTTGGACACACTTCCCACCATCTACGCGACACGCATGCACACAGTCTAATTCTCATCCTGACCCACCCGCCTATAGCTGCCACCACCCTGGCTATCCCCCTCCCCGTTGCCCTTGTTGCGCTTGACCAGGTTCGAGATCCAGCCGCCGACGCCCTCGTTCGTCTCCGAGTTCTGCCGCGAGAGCATCGGCTTGCCGTCCTCGACCTGCACGGCCGGCGGGTCGATGTTGAGGCCGGGGATGGCGTTGTCGGCGCCGACGCCCGAGCGGCGGATGTCAAGCGAGGGGACGGGCGAGCCGCGACCGCTGAAGAGCGATTCCGCTTCTGCGAGGGTGGCGGGGGTGGGCATCACAGAGGTGGCGTCGCCGAAGAGGGAGTTCATGTCTTCGAGGCGGACGTTCGCAGTTTCGGGGTAGATGAAATAGACTAGGTAGATCAGTCACGTGGTTTGTGCTCGATGGGGGTCTGTGGGGAAGATGCTCACCAACGACGAAACTGACCGCGCAGAAAAAGGCGTGCAGCAGGTAGAGACGCCACTGGATCCATTGCTGGAGAATCGGCGTCATCTCACCCACCAGCCAGTTGAAGGCCCAGTTGGAGGCGGTACTCAAACTCGCACCCTTGGCGCGGATGCTGAGTGGCAGAATCTCCGGCGGGTAGAGCCATGGGATAGGTCCCCACGACGCGCCAAAGGATCCGTTGTAAATCATGACAAAGACCACAACCAACCTCGGGGTCCACACCGGAATGTCGATGTAGATGAAGTACGAAATGGCGGAAAGCGATATGATCATGGCTATGGCTCCGGAAAGAAGGATGAAGCGCCGACCCCACTGGTCCACGAGGTACCATGGAGGGATCGTACTCGCCAGGTAGCTCAGGCCGTTGATGCCTGTCATAAGAATGGCGTCGCGGCCGACCCAGCCGGCCTGCTCGAAAACGAGGGGTGCGTAGTAGGAGATGACGTTGATGCCGTTCAGCTGGGCCAGAGCCTGTGCCGACATGGCGATAAAGACACGCTTGTAGTAACGCTTGAACATGTCGGAGTAGGACCTCTCACCCTCCTGGCGCTGGAGCAGGACATTCATCTTGATCTCACGGTACTCGTCTCTCGCCTTGGGGTTGTGAATGTCACCCTTTCCGTAAAGGTTAGCGATGACGACAATACCCTCTTCATCATGGTCATTGTCAAGCAGCCATCTAGGGTCTGTTAGCTTTCCCGCTCAGGCTTTCCAACATGATAGGTAGGCTCCTTACCTAGGAGATTCGCAGATCAACAGGCTACCCACGCCGAGAAGGGCGCCCATGACACACTGCATCAGCAACGGCACACGCCAGGACCAGTCGCTCTGGATGTAGCTGCAAAAGTAGTCTACCCAGACACTGGCCGCGTAACCGCAGATGTTGCCAGTGAACTCGATGCAAGCCAGCTTTCCTCGGTTGTGAGGAGGCGAGATTTCGGACTGATAGACGGGCACAATGGTCGACAGAGCACCCACACCCAGACCGGCAATAATCCTGCCCAGCATCATCATAGGCATGCCATTGGCGAACGTCTGGAGAGCACCGCCGACCAGGAAGACCAGGGCACCGTATAAGATTGTCCGCCGCCTGCCATACATATCTCCTAATCTGCCAACGCCCAACGAAGAAACGAACGCACCGACTTCGAGGATGGCGACCATGGTTCCGATCTGGGCTCGGGTAGGCTGATTGAAGTAGTCCTTGAAGTAGGATCCGCTGTTGTCGACATTACAAGTCAGCGTCTGTTTTGTTTACATGTGCCGAGGTGGTGGGGGAACATACGTGATGATACCGGACATGACGCCCTGGTCATAGCCAAAGAGGAACACACCCAGCGATACGAAAACACTGGTGAAATAGCTGCGTTTCGGTCAGCCGGGGTTCAATGGTGGTGGGGTGCTGGTAGCAAACATCAGCTTCTTCCCGTGGAGGCCGTGCATGCGGCTCGGCCTGTCTCCCGACATGATGGCAGCGAGGAGTCGTTCGGCCTTGGAGACGACACGCGGTGCAGGCTCAGGTATGTCGATGTCCTCCTTGCGCTTGGGCAGAGGCGAGCGGGCGTGTTTCTCGCGGTCAGGCTCGTCTCGGCGGTAGTGCACGCGCTTGGGGTGACGTCTGTGAGGGTTGGCGGACGGATCGAATTCCTGAGATTGGCGAAGCCTTATCTGCAAGGGATCCTCTTCGTCGGCGAGCTGGTCGACGAGATCGCCAGTGTCGCTCCAGAGGGAGAAGTCGGAGTCGCGGGAGCGGCGGTGTTGGTGCTTCTCGTCGTCTCCTTCGTCGTCGCCGTCGTCGAGGCCCAGGCGGTCACGAAGCAGGCCGGCACGGTCGGAGGAGTTGGCACTGTGGGAGTGGGAGAGGGAGTGGAGGGGGATGGTGACTTGGGGCTTGGTAGAGGACGGAATCTTGACAGCGGGCGAAGGCTGGGAGGGAGCAGCCCCGTCTCCACGATAACGTCGGCTGTCTGGAGGGAGTTTCTGCGCGAGGGAGCTTCACGGTTCGGGGGCCCGATGACGCTTCGGCAGGGTCCGGGGCTGGCTGGGGGTGGGAAAGGCGAGGCGACGTTGAGCGTGTGGGTTTAAGCCGAGAAGGGAGAAGAAAGATCACATCGAGGGGGCTTGACTTGATGCTTGATGCTGAGGTGCGCGTGCAGCTGCGCTTGCGACGGTCGATGGGCTGGCCGGGAGGTTGCAGTGTGGATTAGTGGACTGGGGAGAGGGCCGACACATTGCAGTGGCTGCCGACGGGAGCGAGTCGTACACCTAGCACCTTGGTCAGCAGCGGACACTGCCAGCGGACACTGCCAGTGGACACATCAATATCAATCGGTGAGAGGACGTTGTCAGAGCATCGTGCAGACGTTTGATTCGCACAATTCGAACCACTCTCAATGCCTAACTTATCTGAAGCTCCTCGGGCTGCGAGAGTGCTGTCCAGGCCTCCCATTCTCTTACCGCTGATGACTACTAAACCACTGCATATGCCCACCGTTGCCGCCCGTCGCTCCACCGCGTCGTCCACCTCTCCACTCTCCTGGTCCTCACCAAGTACATACGTATTCCGTACCCTCCACCCACACCCACCACGCCTCTCAACCTCGCCGCGCTGTCATATCCGGGCACTCCCACGACTCCAACGACTCCCACGACGCCCACGACTCCTCCTCCACCAAGCCCAGCCCGTCACGCGCGCCTGGTCCATGACCGCCCTCGTGAGCTTCTCCAGCTCACGCTAGCAATCCTGTGGGGTAAATAGTACGCCCGAGACTGTGGAGGTTGAGAGCCTCGGAGCCACGGTCATGCCGCAAACACGAGGCCGGGGGCATTGGATCAATGTCTCGTCCTTTGCGACTACCAACAATTTGTTACTGCTCTCTTGTTACCCGCAGCACTGCCGCACCGGGTGCGCTGGCCTGCCTCTTGGCCCCTCCGCTCTGCATGCGGCTCGCTCTCGCCGCTGCTTTTCCTGCTTTGCACCCCGCTGACCGCCTTTTGCTGTTCGCGGGCGGAAAAGGCTCTGCAACATGACAGCACGTGCCGGCGATGCACTCCTTCGTGGCGGGGGTAAAGTCACTGGATACGTACTTATGGGGGCCGTGATGGCCGATGATATGGGAAGACCCATTGTATAAGGCTTCTTGTGGGCCGCGTGGGCCCTGCGTGCCCGGTGTCCATCTCGACTGTTGATAAGACGTCAGCGGCAGGAAAGTTGCGCTTCCATCTTGTTGCTGCTTCGTGCTGCGCGTTGGCTGGCTGGTTTCACGACTGTGCAAGTGCTTTTGGCGATCGGCGGGAAGAGTCGTCGTTGTACATATGCTTTTGACTTTACTTTTCGATACAGGATAAACGCTTGAATCGCATCAACCTGTCCGAGCATTCCTGCGGTCTCGAGAGCGAGGCTCGGGCTGTCCAATCGTCGTCGCAAATGATATTGTCGAGCAAGCTAGAACCATTTGTTCTGACGAGAAGGCCGAACAAATCTATTGATAGCACTCGAAGCAAGCCAGAAACATATCTCTGCCTATCTTGAAGCGAGGTATGCCGACTTCTTAAGGCCGATGAAGTACGTATAGATAGTGGCTATTCGAGGGCAGGAGCAAGTCGAACCTCTTCAGAGAAGTCGGAGTAAGCCTGCGCAGCAGGTGGTAGAGGTTCGAGATGTGCCCGGCACATGCATATCTACCTATCTCGAAGCAAGTCCTCGACTATCTCTCTAAGGCTGTTGAAGTAGGTCAAGACAACGCCCCAGCCTGTGTGATCGAAGCAAGCCAGTATGGATTTTGGATTCTCTCGAAGCGAGTCCTAAATCAATCTGGTAGGGCTGGGGAAGGTTTCTTTCTCGAGGAATTGGGGAAACCAAGGACTGCGCTTACAACGCAAGAAGAACTGCTATTATCAGTCGTCATCTTCATGTCTCGAAAACCGATGGGATTGTGTCTGAAAGGCAGACCGGCCGGTCCGGCCCATCACGAGAACAACTGTGGCGTGCTTCAAAGATAGTGTGCCCCTTTTCGCATCAAGAAAGGAACGCCAAAGGCGGGAACATCGTAGCCAGCAAAATCCTATGAAAAGCACACCTCAACACTTCCTCTCAATCGCCTTCATACTTACCCATCATCATCCGCGAACCACAGACGTCAGTGTCGCGAAAGTTGCAGACAGTCGCGTTCTCCATGCTTGTTGCAGTCCCTCCCCATTGTCCGTTTCCAGCGTCGCGCGTGCCCGCACCTCCAACGTTGTTTTCTTGACACCCTTCCTTCCCCACCGAACCATCGCTTTCGCTTATGTTGCCTATTCCTCACCTAATATCTCCATCCACGGGTCAAAAGCATCGTCTCATCCTCCTCTATGCTCCCGCCGCGAAACGACTGAAGAAAGCCGGTGTTCTACCTTAATATAGACAGACAAATCCAGAAAATTTTCAACAATAATCCATTGCCACTACACTAGTAAACAGTGTAATTCCTCCGTGGCGCAATTGGCTAGCGCGTCTGACTGTTAAGATTGCTGTTACAGGCGTTTCAATGGTATCAGGAGGTTGACAGTTCAAGCCTGTCCGGGGGAGCGTTCTCTTTTGACCTGTGGTGGTGCTGAGTGTCTATTTGTTGGCCGATTGGATGAGAAGAGCTTTGCTTGCTTTCATTTTTACGTAATTGACAGGCGTGGAGGGTAGGTGATTTGTGGCCGGGGTCGCGGTGTTTGGTAGAGCTGATGTAAGCTGTTCAGGTTTGACTCGAACACCAGAACTCCGAAATGTTACAACGACAACAACAACAGAGAATACCACGTTAACTTGACACCCGAGAGACAGGTTGCACAGATGGTTTGTACTGACAACACGACTCATCTTTTTTCCGCTGTCTCTGATGAAACGATTGACTGTTTGGGATGGCTTCAAACGCGCATTCCTGTCTCCGGCAGCATGACTGCAAACCCAAGACTTCTTCACTTTACAGCGATCGCTGACCGCAAGACCTCACGCATGATATATGTACTCGCATACCTCAACCACGCTCCTCGGCAACTAGACAATAGAGACCCTCTCATGGAACCTCCTTCCAGCTTCCCCGCGCCTATGAAGGTCTTTCGGCGCCGCGACCATCCGCGTGCGGCCCATACATCCCCGCTAGGCGCGGCGGCGAAATTGACAACCCAGCCGTCTTTCGGCTAGCAAGAAGCAAATTTCCAGTTTCAAGATGGCCTGCTGACTCTCTGTGCCCCTGGGCCCTGAGAAGATCAGTGGCTGGGTTGCTTGAGCTGCCTGCTTGTTGTTGGGGTGTATGACGGGCATTGGGATGAATGGCATTGTCTTTGGCTAACTAACTTATGATGGATCCCCAGGGTCTTCGAATTGAACCCTGAAAACGGGCTGATGGACAAAAGGGACTACAGTAACTACAGTAACTAGGTCGACTGAGCGGGACAGTAGGGCGCGCCCGACCCCTTGCGCTGTCCTCTCTGGTCTACACATTTGAGAAGGCTAGCGGCTTCCCCCGCAGCATCAGCACCAAGCAAAACACTCGCACAAGTGCAAGAAACATGGGACTTCAGCACGTTTCCAAGCAGGGCAGACAACGCAGACCATACCATCAGCACGCTACTCGCGGCGCCAAAAACTAAGCTTCTTCGCCATCGCACCAATCAATCGTCGCTCATTTCCAACAACAAAGACCGATGGATTCCGGAAGCAACGCCTTCCGCACGCGCTAGCCCGATTTGGAAATTTGGAGATGGTTGCGGTTGGGCGAGGGGAGGGGTGCGATGCTGGATTGGGCGATAGGCGGCTTTGGTGGCCGACTTGAGCGCGGAAGAGGTGTAGCCCGGAGAGGAGGATTGACAATAATGGCGCCGATGATGGGTTGGGCTCGTTTGGAGGAGCGTCTCAGGTCAGGACGAGAGGGCGGGTGGAGGGAAGATGAGGAGGGGATATAACCAAGCGTGAGGCCTGTTCGAAAGTCCCTTCCCTTTTCCTCTTCTTCTTCTCTGTGCTCAATCATCCCGGCCAAGCATTCCTATTGCCTACAAGATCCTGAGGTCCATCAATCCTTATATCTTTCTTGAGTCCCACTTTTCTTGTCTTGAGCATCAGCTATCTCCACCACCGTACCGTCATCATGTACACCAAGACCACTCTCCTCGCGGCCGCCGCCCTCGCCGGCTCCGCTATGGCTCAGCGCCCTGCCAACATGTCCATCTGCGACTACTACACCACGGCCCTGCTCAAGAACAACACGGCCGCGAACCAGGCCACCGTCCTGACGCTCGTCGTCAACACCGCCGTCATCGGCAACTACACCAAGCCCCAGATCCCCGGCGTCACCTTCCCTGACATTGCGGTCCCGGGTATCCTGGCCAATGGCACCGTCAACGGTACCATGGTCAACCTCCTTCCTTACTTCAACGGTGGTCTTGCGTCAACCAACCGTGGTGGTGATGAGGGTACCTCGGTCAACTTCTTGGATGACGGCGGCGCGGTGCCGCTCATGATGAACAAGCCCGCCAACGGAACGTCTTCCAACCAATAGTATGTCTACCAACCCCGATGCTTCGATATAGCAGCCCCACTGACAACCCCATCAGCTTCCTCCTCACTCACTTGTACGAGTACTTCGGCACCCTCCTCGGCTGCTCCCAGCAGGGCATGACCGGCTTCTCCAAGTACGAGGGCTCCAACTCGCAATACGTAAGTCCCCTCCCGCCTCCTCAACCGCTCCCTCCACCAACAAACGCCTAGTCCGTCCACAAATTCATGGACCTCTCCGAGGCCCAATTCACCTACTTCATCCAACAAGTCGGGCTCTCGGCCGCCTCGTTCGGCGTCACGACCGACGACGTCACCGCCGTCGCCATGTCGCTCGAGAAAGCCTTCGGCATGAAGTGCGCCGCCGCCACCAAGATCGTGCCCTCCCAGGATGCCGCCGAGCAAGCCATCTGCATCGGCGACGGCTGCCCCACCGCCATGAACGCCTCCTGCCCGGCCATGGAAGCCGTCCAGCCCGGCGTCGCCAACAAGACCCTCGCCATGGGCCAGGGCAATGCCAGCTCCCCCGCCACCTCCAGCGCCGCCAACGGCGGCAGCATGACTGCGGCTGGCAGCACGGCGAGCATGACTGGTGCGTCTGCGAGCTCTAGCTCGACGAGCACGGGTGCGGCGGTGCCGTTGGCTGGAAGCGCGTTCGCGGCTGGTCTTGGGTTCCTCGCTTTCTTGATGTAACATGTTGGGACCGAGTCTGTTGGTGTGGTTGCTGTTGCGGTTGTTGATGTGCATTTGTTCATTGTTGGGCAGTTGTTGGGTGTGGGTGTCAGCACCTTGTAATGTAGCAAATGCGACGAATTCGGCACTCGAGCTGTCGGGTCGGGGATTTTCCGTGCAGACAAAGTGTTTGAGAATGTCGCGACTGTGAACATCGAGTGGAGGAGAGTCGACGTCGACGTCTACGATGAACCACCGAAAACCCTGCCCTGCTCAGATGCACGCAAAGACAATGGCAAGTCCTGAACCCGCTTGCTTTCCTACCTGCTTCCCGTTATCCCGCCCCCCTTCAACTGTCCGCTGGCCCGCACACAAAGGCATAGATACTACAAACTTTGGGATCCCGAAATCAATCCCAACAGCCCACCCTTCTACCGAACGAGATACTTTCTTCCTGGGACGTCGGGCGCGAACATCTTTTCCCGCCTTCGTCGTAAACCCACTCAGACAGCTCAATTTCCAATGAGAGGTCCGTGGATGAACTGGAAACTGTAAAACGAGTCCACCTACGAGTGCGATATCTGTTGAGACTTGACTGGATCCGTGACTCACATGCTGCCTACTCCAAACAGCCAACGCACTTCAATAGGCTTTCTCTCTTTCTCTCTCTCTCCCCCCTCTATCCAAATAACCGACAAGGCTTCTGCAGCACATGACTACCACTCATCTCCATATGTATCCTACCCTACCCTATCCTATCCTACTTTACCTATCACCGACCATGCGACTGGGTAGCAAGTCCAGGACCAGGTCGCGGACCAGAACCCAAGAACCGACAACAGAAAGCGACCAAAAAAAAAGAATGAAGCGCTCCGAGACACCGGGTAGAAAAAGCGATAACGCCGGGCCTTGAGCCCTGAGCCTTGCTATGTAACGGAAACGGGATGGAAAAAAGCCAATTCGCCGTTTCCCCCAGCTGACCGATATACCGCGATTGGCCCGTAACCCCCCTTGAAAAGATGGAAAAACTCCCCCGTTCTCTGTCCATAGCCAAACACCTCTAAAACCCTCGTAAAACCTTACCGTACCTTCGGCACATCACTTCAACCTCTCACCCCTCTCCCACCTCCCCGCGTCCCCAAAAAGCTGCCCCGCCTCCGGACAAAACCTGCTCCCCCCACTCCCCTGACTCCCAACCTCGCACCCCCAACAAACAATCAGACTATCCATGATCCCGCCCAGCACGCCCTCCATAGCACCCAAAACGCTCCACCCAATCGCCGCTGCCACCATCCCCACCACATACGCGTACAAGCTCCCTTTATACGGAATCGTGATGCCGACGCCCCCGCCATTAGCAGCGGAGTTGGAGGCGTTGAGGGCAAGCATGCGGGCCGTAGTGACCCAGCCACCGAAACCGAGCGCGACCGCCATGACGAAGCGGGTGCCGTGGAGGAGCAGTTTGGAGAGGCGGTACGGCACCATTTCGTTTCCTGACGGGGAGGAGAAGCTGCGGGGCGTGAGCATGGAGGTGGGTGTGCTGCGGGAGACGAAGCTGAGCTGTGCGAGGCCGTGGGCGGCGACAGGGAGGGGGATGTCTTGGATGGAGGCGTAAGTGAGGGTGAGAGGGTTGGTGATGGCCACTACGGAGGTGGGCATGAGGTGGGAGACGGCAAAGGCGAGGAGGGAGGCGGCGCGGCGGGGGAGGACGATTAGAGGTAGGCGGAGGAGGAGAGCGAGGAGGGTGGAGAGGGCGATGGAGCCGAGCATGGGACCGGTGGCATGGGCGAAGGCGGCTTGGGCCACTTGTTGGGATGATGGGGATGGGCGTTGCGAGCGGTGGAAGTACCATTGCGATACGGCAGCGGCGTTGAGGCACCGCTGGACGCCGGATATGATAGCGATGGTCCAGAGATAGAAGACCACGTAAAACGCGCCTAGCCACCAGGTGCTGAGGTCGATGAAAAAGAATGGGATCGAGCCTTTGAGCTTGCCGAGGTGGCCTTCGAGGAATAGACGCGCGAAAATGAGGACCCAGATCCAGCTGAAGAAGACGTTGACGGCGAGCGCCATGACACCTACGCCGACGAGAGCCGGGTTGGCGGTCAGCACGCGGCTGGCCAGCTCGAGGATCTGGGTGGCGCTGTTGAGAGACCTGCGGCCTTTGTAAACCATGTAGCACCAAAAGATGACTCCGAGCGCAGGCAGCAGCGAAAGCCAGCGCATAGCGCGATCCTGGAAACGAGCGCCGTGCCAGCTGCCCTTGTAGCTCCAGACAAAGGGATATATCGAGAAGGAGGTAAGAATGATCGGGACTCCAATTAGCATCAGGTTTACGAGGGGCCGCGCAAAGTAGTGCAGAATCGCTAGCC